AGCCCTTGGTTAGTACGTGATGTATGAAATGTATTTACAATGCATGCTATTTGTCTATGCTATACTGTGCAGGTATCGGCTCGTGTCCTTGGTGCATTGCGCGTCGTCGTTGTCGAGGGGGTGGTAGAGTTCGCGGTCGGTTCTCGTTCGGTGTAGGATTGGTGAGGGTGGTGTTGTTGGTGTTGGATTCCGGTACGTGTGTCCTTATCTGAAAAAGAAAAAAAAAGAAGGCAGTAAATGTTTCTTTTTGGTTTTTTAGTATGGTTTGCGTTACCGGATGGTGTAAGGGGCGTTGTCAAGGAGCTCTTCGAATTCCTGGGGTAGGTCTTCGAGTAGTTGGGTTAGGAGTACGGGAGGGAATTTGAATTTCCTTTTGGGTTTTCGGGGAAGGGGACCTCCTGTGGCGGATTTATTGCAGGGGATCTTTAGGATATCTTTGGTGGGCTGGGTGTCGCCGTGGACCCTGCGCTGTGCAAATCTTGTTTGTAGGGATGCGAGTCTGTGTGTGATAGGTTGTATGTTTGCGTGTTCGATGGTAAGGTCGGAAGGGTGGCGTGGATCGAGTCTGTGTATTTTCCGTAAGATATTGCGTTCGCAGGCGGCGATTTGGTGTCGTTGACTAGAGGAGAGGGTGCAGTACAGGGGGGCTCGGTAATCGATGAGTGGTCTGATGTACGTTTTGTAAGTGTGTTGGAGCGTTCTGGGGTCACATCCGTTGATGCGACCCCGAAGGGCGCTCAGTAGTTGTGTGCGTTTCCTAACTTTGTCTAGTGTGAGCGTTAGGTCGTGGTTCCAATTCAACGTACTTGTGAGATGAACTCCCAAGTGCTTGATTCGGTTTGTGAGCTGTAGCGGTGTGTTGTTCAGGTATAGGTGAACGTCTTCGTGTTGTTGTCGTGGGTTTTTACTGTAGTCGGGGTGTCTGAAGAGTATTGTTTGTGTTTTCTCGGGATTTAACTGGATTCTCCAGCGATTGGCCCATGTCGTGTATCGTGTGAGAGTGTCGTTCAGTGTGCGTGTGGCTCTTGTGCTGGTGCGGTCTGTTGTCCAAAAGGCAGTGTCATCTGCGAATAGTGTACAACTGGTTTTGGCGTTGCCTGGTTGTGGTGTGTCGTTAGTATATATGATGTAAAGAAGGGGAGCGAGAGGTGAGCCTTGGGGAACCCCTGCGAGGGGTGTGAATGGATCGGATAGTTCTCTGGCAACTTTTACTCTGGCAGTTCGATTGGAAAGGTATGATAGCAGGAATTTGGTCATTTTATCGTGGATATTCAGGGAGCGGAGCTTGTGGATTAGTCCGGCGTGCCAGACAGAGTCGAAGGCTTGTTTGATATCTAGGAAAATTGCGAGAGTGCAGTTGCCGTTGTTGAAGGATCTGACAATCTCTGATTGCAGTTTAAGGAGAGGATCTTGGGTGCATCTAAGGGGTCTGAAACCAAACTGTGCGGGAGGTAGGAGATTGCTAGTCTCCAGATGGTGTCTTAATCGTTGGGCCATAATTTGTTCGAGGGTTTTTCCGATGCAGTTTAAGAGAGATATGGGTCGGTAAGAGGATGCTCTGGTGGTATCTGCTTGTGGTTTTGGGATCATGACTATGGATGAGGATTTCCAGGGTGCTGGAAAGTATGGGAGTTGGATGCAGCGGTTGTAGATGGTGGATAGCAATGTGATTGCGGAGGGAGGAAGGTGGCGTAGTATCAGTCTGTTTATGTTGTCCGGTCCGGGTGCTGAATTGCGTCCACTTTTGATAGTGTCGACAATTGTTTGGGGGGGTATTGGCTGAAGGAGGGGATCGTCAGGAGGTTGTTGAGGGACGTCTTGATCCCGAAAATAAGCTAACCGCTGTTCAACCGCCAGCTTAAACTCGAGATCGTAGTTGGGAAGGTCGGGTGATTGAAAGGCTTCTTGTAGGTGTCTGGCAAATAAATCTGCCTTGTCTTTGTCTGTGGATACTATGTTGCCTCCTTGGTCTGTTAGGTGGGTTCGTTGGATTTTTCTGTTGCCGGTCAGTACGTTGAACTGGTGCCAGTATCGACGTCCGTCTCTGTAGTCCAGAGCGGAAGTCACCCTGACCCAGTTCTCTTCAGTTAGTCGTGTCGTTTCTCGTCTTATTAGGGAGTTCAGTCTGTTGTATTGTGTCTTGAGCGCGGCGTCACGGGATCGTAGGTATTGACGGAACACTCGCCTCTTCTCCCTAATGAGATTAAGTATCCTATCAGGGAGCTTCTGGCGATAGAGATGATGGGGTTTCGTAGGGACGGCGATGGAGACTGCATCGGAAATGGTGGTGGTAAGTGTGTCGACTGCCGAGTCGACGTCTTGTGGTGTTTCGAGAGAAGGGTGTGGCTGAATGTTTTCGGTGATGTGTTGGGCAAAAACTTTCCAGTTGGCTCTGGAAAAGTCTTTTTTATAGATCACCGTGGGCGGAAGAGCAGGGGGCGGGCTGAAGTTCGTGCGGACAAGCAAAGGAAGATGATCGGAGGTGATTGTGGTGCCTAGGAAGCAGTTGGCGTCGATGTAGCGGAAGAGGGGTTCGGTGAAAATGATATGGTCGACAATAGAAGTTCCGTTGTGCGAGACAAAGGTTGGGGTGGTGTTGTTAACACGACAGATAGGAAGGGTTATTAGGTGGTTGGCGAGAATAATGCCGTTGGGGTTGCAGGTGGAATCGCCGAAGAGGGTGTTTCGGGAGTTAAGATCCCCCAGCAACACGGCGTGGCGGAGGGTGGAGATATACCGAAATAGGTCATCCGGGAGGGGGTCATTGGGTGGATTGTAAAAACTGAAGAAGCTGATATTGATGTTGGGGAAGTGGACGGTGGCGGCAACACATTCTAGGTGTTGAAGGTGGGGCGGAAGTGTTAATGGAGTGGAGGGAAAGCGGTCCCTGACAAGCAGGGCCGTTCCGCGTGCTCCCCTGAGGGAACTGTTTTTTTGAAATGTTTTGTAGTCTCTGAAAGAGAGGACGGCGTTGGAAGTTAGTTTGGTTTCAGTTATTGAAAGGATCTGAATTTGGTCGGAGTGCAGGAGGTTTTTTATGAGGGGGCGTTTGCGGCGTAAGCCACAGGAGTTAACGGTACCGACGACGAAATCCATGATTGCGGAATTAAGAAATAACTATGTAGGGAGTGGAAAACGCTACCACGTTTCCGGAGAAGGATGCCCAGGTTCTTCGGTTAAGGAATGGTTGGGACGCTTGGTCGATTGCTTGGATGACCTCCGAACGGCGGTCGGGGAAAAGATGGATGAAGGTAAGGGCTATGGTTCGTAGGAAGTCGGTTTGGCGTAGGTAGTAGGCGGTTTCTGGTAGTGCGGAGGATTCGGAGGAGACGGACTGGGTGTCGGCGGGTTTGGGTGGAGCTGCTTCGGCGGGAGTGCTGGGGATTTCTTTGCGTTTGGTACATTCAAAGGAATAGGTGGGGTGGGGTCCGGAACAGTTATTGCATTTGGGTTGGGTGTCGGGTTTGCACATGTTGGGTTGTGGTTTTCACCACAGGAGGGACAGATTTGGACGCGGTAGTGCATTCGGAGGAGAGGTGGCCGATTTTGGTGCATAGGGAGCAGTACTTAGGAGTAGGGTCTGGAATGTGGGACGGTTCGCAGGGATAGTGTCTGCTGAACATGAAGATACCGTGTTGGAGGAGGTGTTCTAGGGTGAATTTGCTGGTTGTAATGATCCGTACAAAGGTGGTGGGGAGGTTGGTCGCTCGGGAGATGATGCGCAGAGCGCGGGTAATTCTGGGGAGATTGATGGCTTGCAGGATTTCGGGTTCCGTGATGTCTCGGTCGACATTACGGATGACGCAGGAGAAAGATGGTGGTTTAGGGGTGTGGGTTTGGGGTTTTGGACCGGATAGTTGGGTGAAGGATACGTTGGGATCGCCGAATAGGTGTTGGAGTTTTTTGGAGAGGTCGAAAGCAACAGGGAGTTTAGTTTCTATAAGGGCTGTCTGGTTGTGGTTGAATTTTAGGTTTGTAAGCGGGAGGTAGCTGGGTTGGCGGAGGAGTTCGAGGGAGGGGTAATTGAGAAGGTTTGTGCTGCGGAGGTTTGGGTAGTTGGGTTTTCGTTTTAGGTTGTTTTTGTTGTGGGGGATTGGGTGGACGAGGAGCGGGTTGTTTAGGTCCCGAGGGACGGGGTGCAGAACAGCCAGGGCGAACCATGGCAAGATTCTGAGTGGTAATAGATAATGACCGGGGTGCAGAAACACCCCGAGTGTGTAATGGGTGGTACAGGCGGCTAATCTAGGGATGGGTTACGAGAGCGGAAATAAAAAAATAAATTGATTTCACCTTTCTCGCAGCAGCTTTAGACCGGTTGGTCTCCGACTCGGCTCCGCGCGGCTGTTTGGTACAGGGACGGCTCTGCGGGCTCTGCTGGGTTTCTGCGGGACTGGTTACTCGACGGATCTTAGAAAACGAATCGATCACTTAGAAGACCGGACGCGAACTGCTCTCTGCTCGCAGGAACGCCGCTTATAAAGGATTCCGACTCGCGTCGTGTGCTGTCATTGGCCGGTACGTTTCGCCAATGCGATGGGCGCTAGGGCTCACTACGGAACAAGCCGGCACACGCTCGCCACACCATCCTACACAGGCACTAGTGCTTACTCCAAAGAACTGAACCTCCATATCACCCAACCACTAGGCAAACTTCCTACTGTACGTTATAATTTGTCGGCGGATTAAGGTTTATTTAGGTACTTTTTTTAGAAAATAAGTTAAAACCAAGAGGGAAATTTATTTTTACATCGCAATTTGCCAATTTCAGGGGTGACAGACTATTTAAACGTAATCTATTCAATAAATGAAATATTTGGTGTACTACAAAACTTACAACCTCCGCAGAATTACTGTACAATGTAAATGTGAATTTTTTAGAAAGTTACGTAATTTTAATTCGAATTTTTAGAGACCAATTTGGAAGTTCATAACATAAACAAAAATATTTAGTGTACCAGTTATAACCCCTGCAATTAAAGATTGTAAGTGTGAAGAGCGAATAAGAAAGAAATTAAGTGAAATGTATTAGGAAAAACGTCAATATTGTAGTCAATCAAGTTGACCGTAGATGAAAGTTCTGAGGGAGGCGACATTTGAGTACACGCCAGGATACTCCATATCACCACATCCGTAGCCCCACGAGACGATTCCCACCTGCTTTCCATCAACAACGAGTGGACCGCCAGAATCTCCCTGGCACGAATCCTTTCCCGGACTACGAAAACAAAGCATAGCGTCTGTTATGCGACCATCGTAAATCTGGTTGCACTGCTCCCTATTGAATTCATCAAGCTCAACGGCTTGCAATTTATAAGAGAATAACCCGGATATATTGGCGCCCCAGCCGGTGCAAACTGCCTTACGATCACCTTCTTTGGCATCTACGTCGACCATTTGAATTGGTTTGCTGCTGAGTGTTTCTTTGATATTTTCGGTTAAGGTTAACACGCAGACGTCGTTGTTTAGTTCCAATGGATCATATGCGGGATTTTGAGTAATTTTGCCCACTTGGATCACCGTACCTCCCGTTCCGCGATTAGAGCTGGAGTGGCGAATGGTTAATACATCAGCAGAAAAGCTGAAAGATATTAATTATCCTTGAGGAATTGTTGTTAGTGAGTGATACCTGTTAGTGCAGTGAGCTGCGGTGAGAATCTTGTTTGGGCCAATAATTGAACCGCCACAAATATGACGACCTGAACTTTGCAAAGACACCTGATATGGATATTCCTTAATATCGGCGTCATGACCACCAACGATTCTACCGTCGAGTCTCGGTGTTCGCGTTTGTAGTTTCGCACCTAACGTAAAATGGTTGTGGCACTTCCCTTTTGGAAGATTATGGTCGACTTACCTAGTGCTGAAACAGCGAGGGCAGAAATCAACAACAGTCGGAACATTTTATAATGCACAAATGAGAAAGAACTGATTAACCGAACGAAATATATATACTCTCTTGGATAAACCACGTCACAGCTTCAATGAGATAATTGATTATTTTTGAAGATCTTGAGCTTATCTCCTCAAGTGTCGAAACTATACACCAAGCATTCTATGTTTCTCCTTTTTGTAACGTATTAAATGGTTTAAGCTGGCCTGAAAGTCGATTGATTGATCTGACTTAAAAGCACAGTTTAGTTCTTTGCCATTTCTTGATCGTAATTAGGCACTTGATCTTTGTTGTATCTAAGGTCTACAGTAAAAAATCGAAGTGCGTGAATTATCAAGATTAATTGGTATATCGGGAAGTACTTAAAATAAAATTCCTATTCTATTCCTATTATCACGGTGACGAGATACTCGATAAAAAAACCTGTTGCATGTCCCTCAAAACTGAACGGCCACAGCTTCGCCACTGGTATATCTGCCTTAGAGGGAACTCTGCTTTCTAGTTATAGCTTCTTCTCCGGGCGTTCATTTGTTTCCGATGTTCCTATCCTTTGGTATCGTTCCCTTCCCTGTTTTCCCCCCTATTCCTCCCCTTTTTATTGTCCTCTCCCTGCGTTATTTTCTGTCGCCCCCTCTTCCTCTTGGCTACGTGTGCTTATGTCTGATTCATCCTCCACCTCCAGTATTCTTCTGCTTTCTTTCTTCATTTGATGCTTGTCTCTGCTCCACTCTTCCCTTCTTCCCATGGGAATCCCCGAGGCGGTTACCGTTTGGTCTATGGTGGTGTTCCATGTGAAGCAAGGTCGACCTACCTTCCATTCCGAGGCACATAGATTTTTGGCAGCCCGTATAGTCCATTGAAAAGTTACATTTGGGGTTGCGTTTGTCAGAGGACGCAATTTTATTTTTTAGATATCAACGGGGGGTTAGTCTAAAGTTAAATCCAAGTTTGTGGGGTTGCAGCCCTTGTCCCGCGGCCGCCATCTTGAAAAAAGGGGTGCAAATGGTTTTTATGGTTTATCTGACAAACTATTGGTCTCACAAAAAATGTGTTCAGATATTAATAATAATTAATTAATTAATAAATGAATAAGAATAAAATTCTCTACAACTTTGGTTCAGTAACTTTTAGTCGTATAACCAAAAGTAACAAAGTTATTAACGAAAATTGATGAACATTTTGTAAAAAAAATCAATTTGGCGTTATTACTTTTTTTATTGTCATTTTACAAAAAATAACCTCATATCATTTTTATAGAGGGGTTTTCAAGGAATATTTTTTATTACAAACTTTTTCAATTTTATTCATTAATTAAGATTTTACAGCGCTACGAAACGAATACAATTCTCTAGATTCATAAGATCAGAGTGTTCATTTTCGATAATACTGTGCAGGGATAAAAGATAGTAACCGTGTGGGGATAAAAGAACATCTACGTATTAGTGTTGTCTTTACGAGACGGCTACTCAGAAGACTCCGATGTCGCAGGAACTAAGTCTTGGTAGCGTTTGCGTCGCACGAAGAAACATCAGTCGACAGAAACAGAAGTTCGATAAGAACACCGTACCGACGTTATCACATGAGAAATTTCTTGGCAATGAGAAGAACAAGGCTAATTTCATTGTACTTCTCAAAAATTCATTCTCAGAGGTGGGTTTCACTGTCGACCAAGTACAATCAGATGCAGACACCCTCATCGTTCGTTCTGCCTTTGCTGCATCCCAATCGTTTGACTCAGTTACTATTGTAGCTGAAGATATCGACATACTTGTGTTGCTCACGGCTTTTGGATCAAAGAAATATGTTTTTTTAAACCGTGAAAAGGACGTACAGCAATTGTATTCTCCGTCAGGTTTTATGCACAAAAACGTCATTGCGGATAATTTGCTGTTTCTCCATGCTTTTTCAGGACGTAACACAACATCAGCAGCTCACAACATTGGCAAACTAAAATTTCTCATAACCCTGGAGAAACATCCAGAGTTAGCAAGTGGAATAGCGTTGTTCCTCAATAAGAGAATCGATCTTGCTCTGCTCACTGTCATTGAACATTTTTCATCTTTTTATATGGTGGCAATAAAGATGTTGATTCTTTTAACAGCATTAGATACAAACGATTCGCCAAACACGCCACATTTAACTCGTCTTCAATTCAAACGCAGCCTGGTCCATCAAAAAGACTAAGACTAACAGTAATTATGTCATTTAGAACATTAGAAAGTGTGACGAAGAAAACTAGCAGGGAATAGGAAACCCAGCACTACGGCTCCAGCTGCTCTCGGTGGTAGGGGTGGTTCGACGATCCTGGAAGAAATACCTATAAATGCTCCGAAAATTTAGGCGCCACTAATTTTTCGATAGTTCCAAGCCGTACAGGAAAAAAATTAGAAACCTGCTCCTGTTGGTCTGGAAATGCAGGGGTAAAACTAAAAAAAAGAAATAGAGAAAGATAGCGGGAAAGAAAAGGTATTTATTCTGCAAGGAACTCAAGAATTTAATACAGATATTGTAGGGCGAATGATGATGATTGATAATGGCACGGAATGATAACAGGGAAGAAAAACGGCAAAAAAAGAAAACGGTACGTGTTAAGTTGGTAATCTTTACTTAGCGCACCCGCTAACAGACTTGCGCAGTCAGTATGCGCTGTACTAGTTGTCGTTGTCGATATACAATAAATGTATGTGTCGTAGTGTTCTGATTCTGACCTTTTTCTCTTTACTTTCTCCCGCCGCTGTGCAAATATCAACAGTACGAGATCTCGTCTCACAGCAAAACAATAAAATTTGACTCAGTTACTTATTAAGATGTAGGGTGACTGAATTAATGTGATGGGTTTTTTTTCTAAATAAACTTAACTTTTTTTTTTAAGGTAAATAGATAACTTGAACTTAGCTGTTCTGGCTCCTGAAGTTGTCCAGCAGTTGTTCGGCGGATTTGGCGGTGGTAGCCCAGTGGCTAAGTACGGGGGAGATTAAGGATAGGGATGCGGGTAGAAAGGAACGAGGAAAAGAAATTTGAGGGTATCGAAAGAAGATTGAAGACTGAAGACGACGACTGTAGATTGAAGACGGACGACTGAAGACTGGAGATGGACGAAGACGAAGATTTTTTAGTAGTAGATAGGTACGTATAACAAGTATAGACAAAAATAACTAAAACTACAAGGCCGAGATGGTGTGGGCCTTAACGTAGAGACAATAGCTTTATTCGTTTTAAAAAGTGTGCGTTGGCACGGTGCGTAGCCGCGTCACTATGCATACATAACCTAGAAGTCAACTTATATGTCAAGTCAAAAGTTGTAGGTCAACAAAAACGAATACGATTTAAGTGCCACAATCAGCTGACTACAATTTACAAATCCAGATGAAATATCAGTTTCATCTTCAGATGATGATGACATAATTTCATCGATTATACTTGCAGTATCAAAAACTCCCCGTAACAGTGTACGAAACTTCAGCGAAGTTACAGTTATTAATTACAATGAGATTGAATTTAATAGTATATTAAGTATGAAGAACGGTAAGGGATTTTTACCGTTCGAAGACAATTGTTTGGAGGAGGAGCGAAGCGACGACTCCAATTATTGTCTGAGAACGGTAACCCTTAACGTTCGACATGCTTATAACATTTTTTGCGCGATCGAAATTATAAAATTATGCAACCAATATAAATAAGCACTAAGAAATTAATGAGCAGAATAAATCGAAATGATCGAAGTGGTATGGTGTCAATCACTAGGTAACCAGTTTATTTGTCAAAATTAAAATTAATAATTTCATAAAATGTGCATGTGTCTGATGTAGTTTACTAGGTTTGTACTTCCTTTATGACTTTATGAGCGTCTTGCTATAGGAAACAACAGCACAAATTGTACGTTTAATGTACCTAACAATAATTAAAGATTAAATGTAATGTAAGACTGTTGATTTTTAAAAAGGCGTCAGTAAGTATTTTTGCTGTTCTGTTTTTAGATCGGTAAGTAATTTTGGCGTCGTCGTAATCATAGCAACTGGTAAATTCTACGTACTGTCATGGAAACACCCATGGTAAATAGTCAGAAATGACCGATCGCGCAAAAACGTCATTTTCGTGTATCAAAGCAATTGATGCATAACTTGGCAGATCGTTTTGCAAATAGCAATATCTTTTTAGAGCATGTTCATGGTAAGTTCTGGATACCAATCACATTATTAGTTAATTACAAATGTGATATACCTATTGCAGAGAAGGGGAAAACTATAGTGGAACCGATAAAGCATATGCAAATATTCTTGTGGTATGCAGGACATACGAGTTCATATGCAGATGTTGCGGATCGATTTAACGTAACCGTATCTACTTTATTTGCAATAATAGGAAGAATGAATCAATTTTTTGACTCGATTGCAGCTAATGTAATAAAATGGCCATCTCCTCAGCAAAGAGCAACGACAAAAGAAAAGATTTTTAAACAATCCGGTTTCCCAGGTGTTATAGGTAGGTATTATAGAACACTAATAACAACTTATTGTAAATGATCAAGTTTAGGTTTTATCGACGGTACTCACATTCGTATAGATAGACCAACAGAAAACCAAGAATCCTACTGCAACAGAAAACATTATCATTCGGTGCAAGCACAAATTATTTGTGACGACTATTGCAAAATTATTGATTGCTTCATCGGATATCCTGGCTCAGTACACGATGCACGTGTGTTCCAATCTAGTTTTATATTCCCACAACTGCAAGAATTATGTCAAGGTAAAAAGTAGTAATATTCACTGTGCATTATGTATAAAATAAATATTTCAGACGGTCATTTATTGGGAGATTCGGCATATCGTCGCCTTAGTAAGAAACTCGCGTAACTCCATTTTAGTTAATTTTACAGGAGAAGGAAAAAACGTTTTGTAAGAGTTAGGTCAATGATAAAAGATTTGAATTTTGCATGAATATAGAAAAATACATTAGATTTAACATTTCTGGTAAAAATATAGAAATTACGTGCTTGTAATGATTTAAAAAGGAGTTACGCTACTTTCCTGTGAAAAATTATAAAATAATTGGATATACGTGGTTTTCGCCAAAGAAAACAACTACATAGTTGGTAATTACACAAAACTTTAGTCTATATTAAACAGAATACGTATTTTAAATCTTGTACAGAAATTCATACAGTTTAAACTAAAAAATATTCTCACAATAAAAATCACAACGAATAAACGAAAAAGTAATTTTAAAAAAATTATTCATGCGGAAGTTCATCATAAAATTGATGATAGTCTTGTAGAAGTCCTAATTTCAGAATTTGGAGGTGCTCATATTTTTCCTTTTTAATTTTTCTGCGTTCTGTGTATAAGAAAGGCAAATCTTCAAACTTGCACGGGGCCGTTTTTTTATTCAATCTTTGGTTTAATGTACACCAAGAATCTGTATGTCTCGTTTTGAATTGGATTTCATAGTTTGGTAAGTACCTTAAAGCCTTTATGTCAGTGACAACGGGGTCGCCAACGATTCTACCTGGACGTATTGACGTATAAAATTTTATAGTATCCATTTTCTTAAAGAACGAATGGGTGAGATATCTTACATTATAAGGAGATGGACTCGATCTTGCCTTTTGGCAGTAGTAAGCATAATCAGCGGGCAGATTTATTTTTCGATTTCTAATCTCTCTTTCAATGGTTGCATGCATCGAGTCCACCTCCATCTGAGTGTGCCCTTTAAACAAATACTTTTGAGTCAAGACAATTTTGTGCTGTGCAGCTAAGTTTACAAACGCGTTGGCCAATGTTGAGTTGCGGTTTTGGCCCGTGCAACCATCACTAAAAAAAATCATTTCACGTAAACCTTTATTCTTTTTTATTTCCTGTTCAACAAAATCGGAAACAATGCTGGAAAAATCGTTTGCAGTCAAGGCCCCTTCGCTTTCATTCCACAGAAAGCAAAATCCTTCCTTGGATTTTAGGTTATAAATAGTGAAGTTGTGTACTACCAGTTTGGTTTTGTAGTACATTGCAGCGACTTGGGACTTAACAGCACGCTTTTTAGGAACATAGAGAGACAAGTTTAGCTCTTCAAATATCTTCATAAACGTTGCTATGGATGGAGGCTCTAAAGTACGTTCGGCGCAATATTCTCGCCTGAAAAAATTGTACAGTGCTGCATTGGAACGCCAAAGTGGCTCTAGATATAATTTTTTAGAGGAAGATCTACAATAATGGCTTTCCATTTTTGGTAAAGATTGTAAAAACTGATACACAGCCGTATTTTTTTCTGCAAATTTCGCCGTTCTTGTTTCGCTTTTTTTGCTGCCCAGATAGTCATCAGGCTCGCGACTAAATTCTTTAAGCCAAGACAATATCAGCGTTTCTTTTAAACCTAGTGTACTACCAAACATCCGCTTACACACTCTGATTCTTTCCAAATCCACTTGTAAAAAATATTTCATAGAATACTTTCTTTTAGACACTTCAAGTTCTCCTCTCCTTCTCTTAACATTGTCGCACTGCACTAGAGCCTGTACCTGCAATTTTCTTTCATTCCAAGTCATTTTATTCCAAAATTTTTGGAAAATCTTTAAACGCTTTTCTTCCGTCATTTTTTGGCACTGAATTGCAGATTTTTTCTTACTGAGAGAGCAGTTGCACGGATTTTCTAAGAACTTGCCTAAAACAAAAATAAATCCTTTATTATTCATGTTTTTTACTGCAGAACACTATGTACCTGGTTTGTTAATGTTGTAATTCCATTTACCGGTTATTTCTTTTTTTCCTTGGTAAGGCTGACCTCTTAAACGTTTATATTAATTATTAATATTGTAGTTCCATGATTCGGACAATTTTCTCTTCCTTCGAGTTCTTGTGGTAGGCAGGCTGGTATCGGCCTCATTTCTTTCTTCATTGTTATTAAAATCATCCTCATTGGCAGAGTTACTACTATCAGAATCGTTTTCTTCAGGAACGTAAGAAACATCCAAGTCGTCAGAGCCAGCATCGTGTTCAGAAGAAGTATTTGTGGTGGTAATAATATTCATGTTGCCTTCGTCTTGCTCCATTCCTAGAATCTCTGGATTGTCCGGTTCATCGTTCATGCTAACGGCATCATTTAAATCTGTCGGCAAATCATGATGGTCACAATCGGTAGAAATACAAGCATCGTTTAAATCTGTTGGCAGTTCTAAATGGTCGAAACTGGTCAAGTTATCATGGTACATGCTAGCAGCATCATTTAAGTCTACCGGCTCGTCTGCCGGAAATTCTATTTGGTCAAAACTAGTTTGAATCATCGGTGGTACAACCTTAACACTATTTACTAGTGGTTCATTTATTTTACTAGACGGTCTTGCATGAATAGGTGACAAAATTCCGTCTTTTTCAACCACATATTCAACCATTTCCACGCAAGAAGAGCTTGCTTGTTGGTTAGCCAAGTCCATTATACGTTTTGTGCGAGACGACATCCTAAAATTAAAAGCTTCTAATGTATCTATGGCTTATGTTTGTTCTTATTTATTCTTTACTTATACGACCATTTGTGCATATTTACTTGTCAAACTTTAAATTAAAAAATAACTACCTAGGATTAAGTAGCTATAGCAAAAGGGCAGAAAAACGTGTAATTACAAAATAAACACATTAAATTAAAGTTGGAAAAGCGCGTATCTCCATAGCCGGTAAAAAAGTCGTAATTAAAGCAAATACAATACATTTTTTAAATCAATTAAACTCTTAAAAGTATCGTAACAGCCTTACCTATATATTAAACTGGTTTTTTACTCCAAAATGTATTGATTTTTTTCACTAAACTATCACCAAACTTGTAAACACCTGCATACACGCTGGAAATATAGGAGAACTGGGAGTTACGCGCATTTCTCAACCTAAGTTTGACACATGGACTTACGTGTGTTTCTTGATTTAATTTTTAGGCGGGAAACATTGTTGTGGCGGTTACGTGGATTTCTCACTTAATAGGTTAAACTTTTTTCTATTAGATGGCGCTAAAATATGAAAATGGCCCAAATGTGGAGTTAAGCGGTTTTCTTACTAAGGCGACGATATCCGTGCCTGTACACATGTCTCACTCCTTTCAAGGATAATGGGCACTTAACACCTATGCAACTAAAATACAATAAAATCCACAATTCCCTACGTATAAAAGTGGAACACACCAATGGGCTGTTGAAACAAAGATTTCGGCAGTTATACCACATTAAGTTACGTAAAATTGATAGGATTGTTGGTTTGATTAAATCTTGTTGTGTGTTACATAATTTATGCCACATCACTGATAAGCAGATATTTGACAGTGAGCACAACTCATTGGATTCATCCACGACGGATGAGAATTTAGATCATGATGAAGGAGCTAGTGGGGGTACACATCAATATGGAAATACAGGAACATCAAAAAGAAACTCAATTGCTCATTCACTTTCGCAAAAACATTAGAAAATATTAATTTTATTTCTAAGTATCTGTAAAGAAAACTACATATTCAACATAAACATCACATAATTATTTTTAATTAATAGGAGTATTATGTATTACAACACTAAGTTCATTTCATTTGTTATCTAAATACTTTTCGAGTAAATTTAATTTGCGTTCCAGTAATGTGTTTCTTTCCTGTTCTATTACTAATTTCTTTTCGGTCAAGTTGTTTTTTCGTTTCATCTCCATGTGTAATTGTTGGAGAACAGAGGAAGTGGGTTTGTACCCCTCCTTACGAGTACTTTGTTCCCTTTTGGCACTGGCTGGTTTGTCTGATGCGACATCTGCAGTGTTTGTCTCACTAAAATGATAAAACATTAAAATGATTACCTATGGCAATAGTTTTACAAATTTACTTTCTTGTAGTTTCATGCTGCTCTTGTGGCAGTAATGTCTCTTCTACCGGCGGTACATTTTCTTTTGAAATTTCTTTTGTTACTGTGATTACACTTGATGTAACAATTTCTGGATGAAATCGTGGTTCGTTATGGAAAATGTCATGTAGCTCGTCATAAAATTCCAATTTTTTATATTCTCGTCCTGTTGCTTTTGTATGTTTTATAAAATTTTTATAAGACCGCTCGAAACACCGCCATCTGTACTTAACCTGAGTTGTTGTATACTTATACCCAAATTGTGCCATTTCAGCTGCAAGTTTTGCAAACATCTGCTCCTTCGAGATAATAAGTCGATCAGAAAATCTTTTGGCAAATTTTGGATACAATTCTATTAGAAGCTTTTTTGCTGGAACAGGCCATAGTATTGGCACTACATTCTCGTCCTCGACATTTGAAGTAGAAGCTAACAAATATAGGTATAGACAATCCATAATATGTGGATACAACAAACAATTACCACCACAGATATCAGTTTGTTCAGTAAACACTTCGTCCGATTGCTGCGTAAGCATTTCTTCCGTTTCTACATATGAACTGGTCTCGGAAGCGGTAGGATCGTATGGATACACATACCTATTTGTCCAAAATCCATACATTTTCATGTCCGTTCATACAAATATGATGTCTAGCAGAGGCAATGGTCTTGCCTGTAGTCTCATTGCAGACAGAACAAATGTATGCCTCCTACAAGCAAACCAATACAAACATGTCTAATAAAATTCTTACCATGCTATTGATTTTTAGGACAACCAAATTATTTTTGTAGAAGAGACGTAGGTATATTTGTCAGTCAGTACTTATTTTATGGAAAAAATAAAAAGGATTGATCTTCACCACAAGTAAACAAACAATAACCTAAAATTTCACTTATGTTGACACATCAAGCACATGCTCTACTACCATGTGCATCTTGCGGCAACACCAACGCAGCATCGTGTTGACACCGCCATGTTTAAAACGAATACCATTTGGGCAACCATAGTCACGTTGTTTTTTAAAACGATTGCATTTTACTGCACCTCAATTGAAACATGTCAACCTGTGTCAACTAAAACGAATAAAGCTAATATATAGATATGTATGTAGGCTCAATTAAATTGGTGGACGGTGAAATAAAGCTCGGATCACAAGGGTTGAAATCCGGCGAGCAAGGGTAACATATATAATATATTGGTTGTAGATAACTTCACAAACACAAATGCGCTTCCTCTTCCACTCTTAATCCCCAAAATAGGGTTTCCAAGGAAGAAATACCAATTCCTGGTAATGAGTGGAGACTATAGGACGAGGGTAGAAATCCCAAAATTGTCGGATGAAAGCGGCTGCAAAAATTCCGCACCTCACAAGCACACCATACAATTGACAATTGACCAAAAACGGAAACGAAACGTAGAAGAATTTGAAAAAAACGAACAGTAATACCAATAATTAAGGAACATAAAAAGCCAGCGGGAAAAGAAGAATAGATTTTTGAAAAAAGCGGGAAAGAATAGCATAGTTTACAAGAACTGACAATAGATGACACTGAAAGCGGACCAGAGGCGTAACATGGAATAAAATAGTACACATAAGCTTCGAAAATTAGAATAGTGAAAACAGTAAGGAAAGGAAAAGCGTTTAAAGTGTGAAAAGGTAAATACAATTGTAAGAAGAGAGCAAGAATCCAAAGAAGCGAAGAAATAGAAAGAAGAAATTTAAGAAAATAGGAACGCCTATGTGATGAAAATCAAAACAAAATAAACAAATTCCTAACCTAAAAATCAAAATAACTAAAGCAAAACTTAACTAAAAATGGACCTGTAACAAAAGGTACGTTAAAATCATTAATATTTATGTATAGTTTAACACTGGAGCGCTATAAAATCTTAATGAATGAGAAAAATCGAAAAAGTTTGTAATGAAAATTATTCCTTGAAAACTCCTCTATAAAAATGGCCTGATGTCATTTTTTTGTAAAATGACCACAAAAAAAGTTGTAACGGCCAATTGAAAATTTTTTACAAAATGTTCATCAATTTTCGTTTATAACTTTGTTACTTTTGGTTACCTATACGACTAAAAGTTACTGAACCAAAGTTGTAGAGAATTTTATTCTTATTCAAAAATGTCTGAACACATTTTTTGTGAGACCAATAGTTTGTCAGATAAACCATAAAAACCATTTGCACCCCTTTTTTCAAGATGGCGGCCGCGGGACAAGGGCTACAACCCCACAAACTTGGATTTAACTAGACTAAGTCCTTCTTGATATTAAAAAATAAAATTGCGTCCTCTGACAAACGCACGCTAAGCCCAAAAAAATGTAACATTTCAATGGACTAGTAGGATGTGGTCTTTGTTACTCCTGTTTATATATCCCCAGTATCTCATCTGCCTCATCTTCAGTCTCCTGGTGATCGTCTTTCCCTCTAGTAATTTCCTGATCTGCTTTCTTGTAAGGTTGCTGTTTTCCATCAGTATCCTGAGTGCCTTTCGCTCCGCCCTCCTCAAAGTTAGTCTGTTACTTCTTGTTAGCGCTCCGTATAAGATTGTCGGTGCTATGATCGTGTTGTAAATCATCATTTTCAAGCTGTCCGGTATTTTCTTCTCTCGTATGAAGTTCCGAATTCCATGTGTGATTCTGAATGCGTTGGCTATTATGTCTTTCACTGTGTTGTGCCTGCTGAGTGTGCTGCTGATGTACGCTCCCAGATATTTAATCTTGTGCTTCATAGTTATCTCCTTCCCGGCTATTGCGATCTTGTCTCCTTTGAACTGGGTGGTGCTTCTTGGGTCTCTTATCATCATGTAGCTCTTTTCGTTGTTTATTTGTGAGCCGACCATTTCCAGGTATACCTCGCTGGTTTGCACGAAGTACTCAATGTCTTCTAACTTATCCGCGATTACGAGTAGGTCGTCCGCGTACGCCAGTAGTGTCGGTAGTTGTAAGTGGTCGCTTGTGCTGGATATACTCTCGCTTTTTTCTTCAAATTTCTCCACCTCAATGCCTCGGCACTTCTTGATTACGATTGCCGTACCCCTGCTGGTTCTCTCCTTCTTCCCTCCACCTATTCACCAGTCGTAGTTGGTTGTCGCAGCCATCCCACTTCCTAGTTTGGTTTCTTGTAGACTGGTTACCTCTATTCCTTGTTTCCTTAATTCATCGTCAATTAGCTGCCTTTTCCTTGGGCCGCTTGCCCCTTGCTTATTCCACGTGGCTACCCTCATCCTGCTGTCTCCTTCTATGTCTTGGCTCATATCCTGGTTTTCTCTTCTCCCCTGCGAGGCACTCTTTCCGGACACCATATGTTTCTAAATAATAATGGACTGTAGTTTTGAAATTACGATCAAAGCAATAAAATAAAATAATAATCAACTTACCCTTTTGTCAATGCCTGGATCTCCTTCAAAGTAGGTATAGGGAAAGGTGGTAAGAGGGAAAAGTGAGGGACAAGTTGACAATAGTATTTGAACGATGTATACTGACAGTTAAGGGCACAAATCACCCTGCTACGCACTGGTAATACCTTAAAACGTTACGTAAAATGAAAATTATTTTTAATACGAGCAAATAGTACGCACGCATCCGACTGTGTCTTTCTATATATTGGGAGGGGTCTTTCCCAATGGTGTGTGTACTATCCTTTTGATATGAATTATTTTACATATGAACTAAACACCATACTAAGACTGTATTCGTTAGGGGCAGCGGCTCCTCTCGCTTCTTCGTATTATCCTAGCACTCGCGTTCGTCGGTATTCCTCCTCTTCCTCTTCTACCTCCCCTATCATGTTTTCTGCTCGCATCACGCTATCATAGTGGTTCCGGACATTGCTACTCCCTAATCTGTATGCTAAGTGTGTGTGTACTTCTTCGGTCATCCTGTTTGCTCTCTGTTGCTACTCGTTAAGAGAAAGTAGTTGAACACTGAAAAGTGAACGCTGAAAGAGATAATTGAATTATGATTTGCCCCAGTGAGACGTGCCCATGCAGTCTAGTCTAACTTAGCCGCCCTGTATGTATGTATTGAGATTAATTGGGTCGATCAAAGGGAGCAGACTTATTTATCCCGTATAATTAATTTGTTTGAAAACGTTGGAATTCTACCCGCACAAAAACTTAGCAGCCCTCGGAATGCACTATCATTGACCTAAGCGTTCCCCATTATACAAAAAAAAATTTCTTGAGAATTTAAATAACCTGTTTTATGGGTTAGGGTGTTTGTATTTGGCCGATTGTTTCCTTTCAAAAGGGTCTAATTCTAATTTTTCACGCCCATGTGTATATATTGCTAACCCGCGATATGCTGACGTCTCGTTTATCTAGCTATACTACCTGGTAAGTTGTCCCCCGTGACCTGGGTCTCTATTCTATCACTAGTTTAATTTAATTTAATTGAATTTGATTTAAATTAAATTATAACCTTAACCCTAGTACTTAGCTTTTCGCCCTGTTGTCCTGTTAATTTGGTTTCTACACTGTTTTGCCACAATTTAATTAAATTAAGATCACGCGTTTAATTCGCTTTATTGTCTTTTTTATACAAATTCAGCTTGGGCTTCAGCCGTTTTTAAGCCCGGATCCTCCTCGCGTTCAAAACCGAATTCTTTACTAAAGTAGGTAAAGTAAACACAGAACTCGCCAGGGACAACCCGCAACCGTCCTCTTTGCCGGTCCAGACCGAACTCTCCGCCAAAGACAGTCAATTTGCAACTTGTTACATAAATAGCTATTAATTTGTCTCATTAAGTTCATAGGAGTAGTAATGTACTAGGTATATAGTCTACGAGTAGCAATCGTTCCAATGACACGACAGGATTGTTCATTACTACTGTAACGTTCTTTTCGTGAAGATTAACAAATAAATCTAACTGTTTAAATATTCTTAAGCATAGTGATTTAACTAAAATACGAGTAGAACCAAAATCGAATAAACCTTAAGATTGTGTGACCCATAGTTGAAATTTGCAGCTATATTGCCGGTATTATAAAGCCATGCTTAGCTGTGTTGTCAGTGAATTTGGAAAAGATGGATCGGCCGCTGTATTTCCAGACCTAGAGGTAGCCTCACGACCTCTTGGCTCCCCCTTTAGTCGTTTCCCGAAAGAGTACAACTTATGCAATTGCGTGTAGTGATGTCAGAAGCTCCGCACCTGTAGCAGTGAATAGTTTTTGGTGCAGTGCAGTCCCGATTAACATGACGTAATTTACGACAATTCCAACATTTCACCCACAAACACCACAAATAGTGGCGAGATGCAAATTCTGATTGATTTTAAATACTAGACAACTCTTTTTAGACATCGGTAGCAGCGGAGCCGTGTAAGTCTTCAAATTCAGTTTCTAAACCCAAGAACACTGAATCAGGTTCTAATGCCCTTATTCACCGAGCTGGAATTGAATAATTTTCTACTGCGACTCTGCGAATGTCTAACTTCCGACAGAGTTTTTAATTCATCTATCTATTTAATATCTATCAAACTAGCTGATTTTTATAAAAGGGTGCTGTATTGCATAAGATAAGCTTGATTTTGATCGCTTCCGATACTAGACATGTAATCCTTTTTAAAATAGCCGGACATTATTTTATTGCTAGTATTTTTCTCCAGATTTTTAGAGAGAACGACAACTGTTTGTAAACCTCTACAATTGTCGTTTTCTGTTATGATCCTAATAAAATCTCCAATACTCTAAACAAAAGGTGCATTCAAGGGGAACTAATTTCCCTGGTTGTGTATCTGGGTTTGGGCATGTGATACGTATACCGTAATGATTAAATGAGATGGATGCCAGTACTACTGTAATGTTTCGCATTTATTTGAAATAGGCTGTAGACTGTCGAGTTTCAGTTTTTGTCGATGAAATTTCGGAGAGCGGCTACATGGGCGTATACACCAGGATGATCGGGATCAGCGCATCCGTAACCCCACGACACGATTCCAACTTGTTTTCCATCAACAACGAGTGGTCCACCAGAATCTCCTTGGCAAGAGTCTTTGCCCGGACTACCGAAGCAGATCATAGTGTCGGTGATACCTCCACCGTAACTCTTATTACATTTCGTTCTGTTAACTTCCATAACGTCTACGGCTTGCAGTTCTAGCGGAAGGAATCCTCCAGAAGAAAGCGTGCCCCATCCGGTGCAAACGGCCTTGCGACCACCTTCTACGGCATTGAATTCGACAAGCTTGATCGGCTTGCCGATGTCTGATTCTTTTATGCTTTCGGTTAAAGTTAATACGCTGACATCATTGCTAATGTCAAATGGATTGTACGCCGGATTTTGGGCAATGTGCGCCACCTTAATTACAACACCCTGCGAACCTCTGTAGGTGCTCGAGTGGCGAACTGTCATAGAGCTTGCCGAAGAACTGGAACATATCTGTTAACTGTGACTAAGGATTTGCGAGGCCTTACCCGCTAGTACAATGGGCCGCTGTGAGAATCTTATTCGGTCCAATGATTGAACCTCCGCAAACATGGCTGCCATGGGATTGCAATGAAATTTGGTACGGATATTCCTCAATCTTCACTGGTTTCCCACCCACGATTCTTCCGTCGAGTCTCGGACGTGTTCCGAACTCAAGCTTTGCACCTGATGTTAAAACGGCTCTAATGATACAAAAAACCTTTTAATGTTACTACTTACCAAGTGTCACGACGATTAAAACAGAGAGAGGCAATAGTCTGAGCATGTTGAGCTGTTATATTGAGAATTTAACCATTTGCACTATTTATACTCCTTTACGAGTGGCATTTCAAGTACTAACCTTGTAGATATTTTTGCATTTTGGTTGATTTTGAAATTTGGATCCAAACACTGGAAACGATTATCTTTTTGAGTGTTTGTATTATAAACGTTTTTGTTTCTATATTTTGTGATCAATGAGCAAGTGTTCGGAGGATTGGAATCATGACAAACAAACCCCTAAACGCGTCTTTTTTCGTTTTAATGACCAAGGGTGTGCACCCCGTGGACAGTTTTATTGTCCATAAATTATCAACGACCTACTCAAATGTTTGCTAATCATCTTGACCATGTCGAACGTACTCAAACAAGGATGACTATTATTTTACCGATGTCAAGTGGCTATAGAGATAAAAAAATGATGGTAATAGAATACTTTGTTTGATAAAGGAGGACTAAGATTCAGTCTGAACAAGAATAGGCGGTTTTTAAAAATATGATTGCAACAGCTTTGTTTATTCATATTTAACGAAACTCTGCTCTCATTCTGAAACCAGATTTTTAATCCGGCTCATATTCAATAACACCGATCCTTGACCTCGGAGAAATCAATTGGCGAGGGTTTGATATGGTTGTCACTTTTCATTCTCGAGTTAGATGAGGAACATACGGACGGACAGACGGATAAAAGCATCACATATAGGAAATTTTTTTCACACCCCCAAGTAGGGGTGGGCTCTTTCATGGTAAGAATTTTGAAATTTTTTTTCAAAATCGGATAGGGCATACCCGAAAACCTATTCAAAAACGTGCCACCCACCTTTGTAACTCTTATGGTTGCTGAGAAAAAAATTAAAGAAGAAATCCAAATTTCACCACTTCTTTGGGGGTGGCTCCCAAACGAAACACGTTGGACCCTCCGTTTATTTGGAAAAAGTACTTGATCCCCTCTATTACCCATTTTTTTTTACATGCAGTCATGTAACCCCTGTATATTCTTTCCTATCCGAGGAATGTCAGTTCTTTTTAAATGAACTCAGAGACCACATCAAAGGCGATTATAAGCCTGACAAGATAACGTTTTGTGAGATTAACCGTGGCCACAGACGGAACGTTGCTGCGGTCTTTGACGGATATTCTGATGATGGGGCAAAGAAGAACACAAAAACTACCGAACGCGTAAGGCGCTATGGTTCTCTGCAGTGTAACGAAGTCATCTTTGACGAGTCCTCCGTAATAAAAAAAATGGCCCAGGAGAAGTTATTGGCCAACGACAGCAACAAACGACTGATTGTATGGAGGAGACTATGGTGACGATACCCTACAGTTTGCGCTATAAGAAATTTGTCGCTGATGAGCATCAAATTTCCGAGGAAGGAGACGACGTCGACAATCCTGTGCCGATTTTCCATTTTTGGGGGGCCGTATCTTGGAAAGTATTGAACCTGCAGGGCTGGTTCTGGTCTCAAATTGTAGCAATGTTAGTTTACTTAAGGAATAGAACATATTTTTTAATGAAACGCATAGTTTAATACATGAAAAAAACCAAAACAAGTGAGAAAATTTCGTGGTTTTTCGCGAGACCGACATTCTTTCCTGGTCAGACTAATATGTTTGTCATTTTGTGATGCATAAATGATTTGTCTTCTAGTATAAGAACAGTCGCAGGTAGCCGCCCACGGCAAAACTTATGTCTTTTTCTTCGCATGGGCTAGATAGAGATGAAAATAAAATAGTGTAATTACTTAATTACTGTACAAATCACAGACGACCCGTTTAGCACTGGGCAGCTACCTGCGATAATCGACGAGACTGTTTTTATACTGGAAGAGCAATAATATTTAAGCTAAATTAGTGTTTTGTTGAAAATGCACCATTTTACAAATATTGAATTAACAGGCATACATTGAGTCAGCTTGCAGTATTATGCTAACAAAAAAAGCGGAGACATTAGTTAACATGTTTAAGTGCCCTCTGATCATTTCTGAAACAAACAAAAGAAATAGATAAATCCTCGCCAAAGAGATATTGCTGGTTCTAATTCCCCAAACGCGGAAAATGTGCGACATCCGGATTAAAATAAGCAAAAGATGGGAGACTTATTTTCATTTCGTAAATACCTATTACTTTTTTTGCTTCAGACAGATATTACCCTTACAATTAAAACAAAAGGAGTGTTGGTCATTTTTTTATTAATTAGTAGTTGCTAATAATATTGCTTTCAGTTTTTATCAATAAATGATCTGAGAGCAGCAACGTGGGCGTATACGCCGGGATGATCTGGATCAGCGCATCCGTAGCCCCACGAAACGATTCCAACCTGCTTGCCATCAACAACGAGTGGGCCACCAGAGTCTCCCTGGCAAGAGTCCTTTCCTGGACTACCAAAACAGATCATGGTGTCTGTTATACCGCCACCGTATCTCCTGTTACATTCCGTTCTGTCGACTTCTAGAACGTCCACGGCCTGCAGTTCAAGGGGGAGGAACCCTCCCGACGAAAGTGTGCCCCAACCGGTGCAAACGGCTTTACGACCACCTTCTACGGCATTCGCTTCGACCATTTTGATGGGCCTGCCGATGTCTGACTCTTTGATGTTTTCAACTAAGGTTAACACGCTAACATCGTTGCTAATTTCGAACGGATTGTACGCTGGATTTTGGGCGACACGGTCTACCTTGATCACAACTCCTTGTGATCCTCTGTAGGTGCTGGAGTGGCGAATTGTCAATGAACTGGCCGATGAGCTAAAGGAACATTCGTGAATTATCGCTACAGTGGTGTATCGATTGTGCCATACCTGCTGGTACAGTGAGCCGCTGTGAGGATCTTGTTAGGTGCAATTATTGAGCCACCGCAAACGTGACTACCGTACCTCTGCAAAGAGACTTGGTATGGAAATTCTTCAATCTTGACGGGTTTGCCACCTACTATTCTTCCGTCGAGTTTGGGAACTGTGCGCAATCCAAACTGTGCACCTAATGCCAGAACAAGTTATTGTAAATACATAGATTTTTGGTAAACTCACCGTATGTACAAACAATTAGAGCAGAAAGAACTACTAGTCGGAACATTTTGAAGTGTTATAATGACTACAGTTCGGATTCTGAATTATATATATCCTGCAACTTCGAGCTATCAATAATATAGCCTTGCAGTGTTTTCGTTGGAGTAGGTACTTGAGATTTAGACACAAACATAGGTGGTGAAAAAGATTCATGTACATGAGTGTAATGCAATCATTGGATAGTTTTGTTTCATGATGACTTTCTGTTAACGGATGGCCCTTATCATGGTTCGATAATAGCGAAAAAATGTAATTCCTCTTAGTGTGACCTATAATTTTGTGTAATGTTTGTTGTAATTATAACAAATAATATGTTTACCCTTGTCATCAAGTGCGTACTCATTTAAAGATTATTAGGGTATTATTATTATTTCGAGTGGGCACTTTTTGCAAATATCTGATATCGACACATAACGTATACACTCCCAACACTTAAGGGTAGAACGGATAACTTGATTACATATTTTATTTCGAGGACGAAACTAGAGTATGTCACATTTTTTTCGGTAGAATAATGGATAACAAAACCGCTTAGTAATAAGTACCTCAGATAGGGATGGATAAGAATGTCTTAGAGATTATTACATAAGGTTATTATTCTCAATTTAACGGAATATCTTCCCTTTTATCATTTCCCCTGTTCTATATTTTGTGGGATTATGTTACGATGAACAGCAACCACATTAGAACATCGTTTATTTCCTCCTTTGGCGGGCGCGGTTGTGCGTGCCTATGAAGCCGCATTAACCCGCCGTCTCGAAGGGAGACGCTGGAATTTCTCGCACCCTTTGTAATTTGCGGGATGTTCAACGCCGCAGTTTACACATAATGCTTTTTCCTCCTTTTGCTTGATGCATTCGGCGGTCAGGTGGGAGCCGGCTCAGAGATGACACTGTCCTACGATGGGCTTCCTTCCTTCGGTCGTCGAAGATACGCTTTAAGATTTCCGATTTGGGTAACTGGACTAGCACCAACGGCATCTCTGGCCGGTCTCTTCCGTGTCGCATCCGGGCTATCGAGACCACCCTCTAGCCTTGGTCGACTAGATCCGCCTATACATCTTCTATGGAGGTTTCTACGTCCAGTTTTTGAACTTAAAAAAATTGTTTGAAAAATAAATTAATCGATATGATTTTCGTTTTGGACGAGATAGATAAAAATTGCCTTTTTTTGCATGGCCACCTCGCTATTATGTAAATTACATATCGTCGGCTTAGTCGGAATACCTCATAAGTCCAAAACAGCAAATTGTTCAGGAGAGGTCTCTGCCCAAGGTTAATAGAGAAAGTAGGTTGCCTCCTAACTTTCAGCCAATAAACGTTCAGTATTAAAATACGCAAATGACGTCACCCAGAATCCCATTTTGTCCACATCATAAAAATTAATTACAACAGACCAAATTCAAAAAACGCAAAATGGGTCGAAATGGTACTTTACATGGATGTGCATTGCATAGAAATATTCGCCGGATGTACGAAGCGTCTGGGACCGCCTTAATATGCAATATTGCCGTCAACGTATTTTTCATTTTATTCCGAGTTTTATTTTTAATGAGATTCATTTCGCTGAATAGTCTCTCTACGTCCGCATTTGAATATGGAAGTGACATTACCATAAATGCGAAATTGGCGAGCTCCCGAAAAATATGACAATTATCGCTGTCACAATATTGGTATACCTTTCCCCAAAATGCTTCGGTATCTTTTGTGTTTTTCCAATCAACGAGGTTAATTGAATTCCATTGTTTTTCAATGATAGAAATTTCTTGGTCACTTACTTTAAAAAATTTCATTTCCCGGTTTCTTTTTAAAACATTGTCCACGCCTAAAATTGACATTTTCGTTAAAATATCTACATTATATGGAAGCCGGTTCGTTAGTTCTTTAATTAATGTTACTAAAAATTGGATGTATCTGTTGCGTCTTTAAAACCATTATCGACCATTTTCTTAATTTCAAGCTCGAACAGGTATCCTAAGTAACAGTTAGGCGGAATTCACACCAAAGCAATGGGCAACAGGCAATACGCGATACGCTACATGCGATATACAATATCGTATCGTGCGTTTGTTCTCATCGAAGCAATATATTCATTCGATATACAAAATGTCCGTCGTGAACAACGTCGTAATTTCTTATTACATGTTGCGACGAATACGATTAAAAGCAAACAAAAAGAAACGTCGATGTTGGGTGCGACCTTTTCATGTAAGAAGTATAGTTCATTCAGTGAGTGTGGTTGCTATAGAACTGAGTTTGGACCCTGAAACATTTAAAAGTTTCTACAGGATGAATAAAGAGAATTTCTCAGTTCTGCTGAGACTTGTTTCTCCGATTATCTTCAAGAAAGATACGAATTACAGATTAGCAGTAAGCCCCGAGGAACGTCTGCTAATTACTTTGAGGTAAGTGTTAGTTTGGCAAACAATAGGTTCTAATGACTGGATAAGAAAACTTTTATATTTAACTAAAACCAAAAGTAATGTAGTACAAAAATATCATTACAACATAAAAAGAAACATACATTCTTATTTAAAACATAAGAAGACATAGTTTATGATCCCATGTTCCAAGTAGCAAGATATTCAGCTGCCGATGCATTAGAAGAGTCATCGTGACTCCACTGGGAAGATGCCGACGAAGAAGTGGGGCCTGCAAATTGCAGATTTTGTTCTCTTTCCTGCTCCGCCAATATGTTGTCGATTAACTCTAACACTGATCTCTTAAACATCCGTTTTCTCCTGGAATCCATTTGCATAACATCTGGCAGCAGGCTCTGTAGGAATTCCAAGTCTGCACTGATGGGTTTTTCTGCGTTAGTTTGCCGTTTCATATATTCTATAAAAGATTTATCCGCCTCATCTGACAAAGTAGAAGTTACAGATGCTGCGCGATTCTTTTTCTTTAGGGTATGAACAAAATGTTTAGGACGCAGAGGTAATTTTTGGCTTTCTGCGTGTTCAACAGCACTAACTTCACAGCCTTGTGTATCAGGGGGGTCTTCATTGTCGTCTTCTGTGACGGTTGAATCCGTATTATTGGAACTCGTATTAGTTTCTGTCCGTTCTATGGGAGGTTCTGCTACGTCGTTATCATTGTCTGCTCTACTCGGTGAGGGTAGATTACCAGACTGTGGCCTCGACTTTAAAAATGGAAAAAGAAATGACATTACATCGTGTAAATAATATTTCTTCTTTTTGGCTTCAGATCCAGACGGTAGCTTGTTTTGAGCTCGTTTCAGTGCAGTTCGCAGATTCTTCCATTTTTCTTTGCATTCAGTAACTAAAAATAAATACTATGTATCACACATACCTACTTATTTATATTTGCACTGTGAGATATATGATACAATTAAAAAAAATATTGTTTCATGTATTTGGCAACAGGCAGCAGTTTTGCAGCATTATCACTTGCATTTTTTCGAGGATGCAGTAGGTACCATTAGCAACATCATCCACGAAACAACAGCTGCTATTTTTAACGCTTTACAATCTCAATACATGCCAGCTCCAGATGAGACAAAATGGACATCTATAGCAAATAGATACAATGAACTCTGGAATATACCAAACTGCATAGGCGCCATCGACGGAAAGCATATCCGAATAAAGAAATTCCGTAACACAGGATCGCAAAATTACAATTACAAAGATTTTTTTTCTGTGGTATTAATGGCAACTGCAGATGCTGATGGAATGTTTGTAACTATTGATGTTGGCGATTACCGCCGAAATAGCGACGGTGCTGTTTTTAAAAGCAGTAAACTTGGACGATTGCTGGATAGAAATAAATTAAAATTTCCACCACCAAGACCTTTGCCTCATGATGAAAGCGGTAATACATTTCCATTTTACTTCTGTGCCGACGAGGCTTTCCCATTGCGTAAAAACATCATGCGCCCTTTTCCAAAAAAGCTATTAAACGATAAAAAGCGCATATTCAACTATCGATTATCTCGCGGTCGTAAAAGCGTTGAATGCGCATTTGGTATGTTAGTTAGTAAATTCCGCATTTTTGAAACACCTATTGCATGTGGACAAGAAACTGTTGATAATATAATAAAAGCCGGTTGTGTCCTACACAATTTTATACGAAACACTGAAGGTCGTTTTTCAGTGCCTCTATTAGAAGACGATGTTAATGTTTTAAACGAATCTGGACCTATACTTCTTCCTGCAATTGGTTTACATACTACTGAACACAATACTGCAACAGCACTACGAAATTATTTATCTGAATATTTTATCACTCCTCAAGCAGCAATTCCATGGCAGTGGAAGTACTGTGTAGAGCATGAATATAATTCCGAGTAGGCCAAGATACTATGAAATGCCGTGTATTTGCCAAAATACCAGAAAATAAAATAAAAAATTAAAATCAAAACGGTGGTTTCCTTTTGTACTCACCTGCTATACCTGCTTCCTTGGAAACTGCACACCAAGCTTTCTCCGTTACAGTACGTTTAGAATAATCGTCCCTGGTGAAATTGTATAAGCAAGGATATTTTTCGATGATTTGTACGAATATAATATTTTGCTTTTCTTCCGACATTTTCACGCAACAAGCAATAGGGTGTTTTCATATTTTTTAAAAACTGGGCAAAACGAAAGCCCATTGGCCGTATAAACGAGCTACACATTTTAAAAAAATATCCGAGCCTTCATTTTCGAGTAATTTCAAAATAAAATTCGAAATCAGAAATTTGCCGCGTAAACGAACAGCCACGCGTGTGTACGGTTACCTGCTCTCAACTACGTCACAGTGCATGTAAACACTGGAAGTGTCATTATAAACAGCACGCGTTCTACGGTTTTGATTTGTTTTCTGCCGTGAATTTATGTTTATATAGATTGTTTTTATTACTATCAAAGACTACCTAACATTGTGCATGTTTAAAAAAGTATGGCGCACAAAATAAATGGTGTTTTGTGCCATGTTGTACAAGTACATCGGTGAGTACGCCAAACAAAATATTTATTTCTGTACCACTTGAGTATTCTCGCAGAAGAAATTGGTTTAAAGCAGCTAGAAGAGATATGCCAAAATCAAAACCAACGTTTTACTGCTGCGAAGATCACAGAGGATTTTTTAAGAAGTATTAAGTACTGGGGTAAATTGAAAATAAAATTAATCGGAGGGGGGGGGGGGTTAAAAAAATTAAGAATTTCTTTAAATGAATGTATTTCAGTAATGTGCTTAGAAACCTGCTCTTTATAAAATTTTCTAATGAATTTTCTGTCGGAATATGTCTCTTTGGAGGGTTCCCTGTAACGCCTATCCTTCGGTTCGCAATGTGCAAAACTACAGTCAAAAGATCTGATTGACGATGTCGAAGTCCGGCAGCCGAGGGAATATGTACTGTTAAAATCATGGGATTTAATTTATGCACTAAACATCCGTTGTGACAAATTCATTGTACAAATGAAACCTGAAACCGCAGATTAGTGCGGTAATTTAGTTCTTAGTTATTACTGCTGACAGGTCCCTTTAATAATGCTTTAAAGTTTAAAGCGTGATAGCCGACAAAATCCTCGAAAAAATAAGTTGGTTGTAGGTAGGTAAGTACCTAGAAGTAGTAAAATAAAATAGATAAACACATTTCTGAATTCATCAGCTGCATTAAAACGATCATCTTCTTTTATAAATTCCATCACCATAAAAATGTCTACGGATGGCAAATTGTTTGAGGACGCTTTCACAAAGTTCTCTGAAGACATTTCAAGTTTATAACCCACGAAACAATCCCGCAATATAATTTAAACACACGACACAACACTATATCTACCAAGGTGAAAAGGTAAACAATCCGCCATTTATATACGGTGAGACGTCACATCGCATTGACCAATGACATTGCGTTTAGATTTCCCTTTGATATTGTTGGTTTTAATGAGTTTTCTAAGTCTTATTGCTTTATAAATACTTAAATATATCGTTTTTTAATGAGCGCATACCGTTACGCTCACCTTTATGTATAAAATACAGTACAAATTAGGTTAGTACGAATATATTGAAAACACCCTATTAGCAACACAACCTAAATATCGTTTGCAATGCAAATCGTCCGATTTCAGACCCTATTATTCGATACGATATCGCTGTCGTCTCGGTTTGAAATGTCTCAACCTACACAATGCATTTGTATACAGCATGATATAAGCAACTCAGATCGCGCATTGCTTATCGCTTATTGCTTGTTGCCTATTGCTTTGGTGTGAATTCCGCCTTAGGATCAACATAGTCTTCAATATTGTGTCCGTGTGTGAATAATTGAAATTTGCTATTGGGTGTGGTCACGGATTGCAGTAATGTAGTTAAGTCATCAATTAACTTCGTAGGGTTGGCAGTCTTCGACTCAAAGTTTTTGTTGGCCCTATTTACATCTTCCAAAATTGATTTTATGAAGCAAATATACGCTATAGGGGAAATGTGCCTGAGATGGCATACTTTTTTTTAAGCCCTTATATTTTTTCTACAAATAATCTTTAATGCCGAAGTTTTAAACATTTGGACACTAGTACTTGACTACTACAATAAGTAGTTCCTGAAATTTTATTTTATTTAATAAAAAGCAAGTTTTTTTTATAATAAAAAAATGGTTAGTATGTCATCTCACCCGGACTATCACGGGTGAGATGGCATACAATGGCTTTGAGTGTTTAATAGTTTAGGTAGGTACTCCTAATTTACTGTATTAACGCACAGTTCACAAATAAAAGTTTTAGAATTTCTTGCAAGTCCGGCACATTCACAGTGAGCCCATTTTGCACAAGATTGGCATTTCAACCACCATTCGTTACGCCTTGACTACGAATAAAGCTCGTTGCAATAAATACAGACGGCGTCGTCTTCATCATCAGTATCTTCAACTGGAAACTCCTCCTCCTCCTGCGCGTCTTTTTGAATTTCTTTATACTCATGTAGATTTAAAACTCTCTTTGTCTTGCGAGCAGACTTTCTTCGTTGTGCCTCTTCTTTCTGTGCCACTATTTCTTTTAAAGCTACCCCACTTTTTCCTGTCTTTCCAGAACGCTTTTTACGGTGTAAAGAGGTGGCTTTTGGAAGTGGAGATATATCTGTTATGGCAACAGAACAGCAAGAAGATAAAGGCTTTTGAATAGATGTGGAGGGCCCTGTATTTTCCAATGAGATATCTTTTTGTGTAGCATCAGCCAGTAAAGCTTCGGGTTCCTTGTTAGCAAAATTACTTTCAGGAAGTCCTACATTTTCTTGTTCTACATCTGTGGCTTCCGCTGGCGCAAACATCCAGTCTGGGAAAATGTCTGGTTGGAATGGATATATTCCTGTGGTGGAAAAACCATTTTCAGCATTAGAGAGTGTCGCTGCCTTCTGGTAAGCATTTTTGAAAAGTTCAGCCACCTGGTAGTGCGTGACTGTTCTTCCTGGATGGGTTTTTAGCCATAAATTTAATTCTTGATTATAGTAAGTGGAGAGAGGTCCAAAAAAAACCACATCCAGAGGCTGTACCCGATGGGTACAGTGGGGCGGAAAGCAAAAAAGAATAATTCCATTGGCTTTGGCATACTCTTGAGCCTCCAGGCTTTTATGGCTTATGTGACCATCCAACATTAACAGGACCTTATCTTCTTTTGTGGGTTTAACGTGCTTAACAAAGTGGTTTAACCATTTGACAAATACATTCTTGTCCATCCAGCCATGTTCTTGAGTAAATGCTACCGCACCAGCGGGAGCGTTGTCCATTAATTCCTTCTTCATATTTTTTCGAGGGAAAATGAATGCTGGTGGGACATAGACTCCTGCAGCACTGAAACTGCAAACTACTGTAAGGTGCTGACCACGTTCGGCGCTGGTTAGAACACCAACTTGTTTTTTACCTTTACAGGCGATAATCTTCGAATTCTTTGAAGGTACAGTAGAGAGACCACTTTCATCCATATTGAATATTTTTGTGCAGTCAAACTTTATGTCTTCCATAGATTGGGCTAGCAAATCGAAGTATTTTTTTATTTGCGGTTTGTTAAAGGCACGCGCCCTTGCTGCTGACGTGGACTCGGGGGTTCTAAGGGACAATGTCGGATTTCGGGTTAGAAAACCCTTTAACCAATCCCATCCAGCTTCTTCCTTCTCGTGGTTAAATGTGTGGGGAATTTTATTCTTCTCAGCCCATTGGTACGCAAGCTTACGAAGCTCCGTTGTTGTTACCCCAAAAAACCTATTTTCTAAATTTTTTACATGCTCCGTTAATTCCTGTTCCTGTTGCTTTGAGAACGTGTTTTTCTTGCCACCCATATATCCTTTTGTAAAACCAGTAGCAAATTGATTCACTTGATTGGCTCGCCTTCTTAGTGTTCCAAAAGGCACGTTAAAAGTTTTTGAAGCGCGCAGCCAACCCATTCGATTTTCTTGGATGGCTTTTATGGCTGCCCGCATATCTTCTTCACTCCACTTTTGACGGTCACTTTTTCTCTGGTAATTCCCTACCATCTTTATTAAACTGCAACAATTAATAAATAAATTAGAGAAAATACCTACAAATAAAAGTAAAATGTATCTAAATATTACGTTTTATCCATGGAAGACGTTCGGGCGAGTTAGCATACTATGCCATCTCAGACTGCACAAGTATATGCCAACTCGCCCGAATGTAGTATCATGCAAACATAATTTTGTAGGGTAATGTACATGTATGAATAATGCCCACAATGTCAACAAAACTTATAGGTTAGGGTTCCATAAAACGTAATAATTCGTCATCAGGGTTATATCTATAGCAATAAATTAATATACAATCAATATAAACTACTCATAAAAATTTTCTCACCTGTATATTTTAAAAAAAGCTCTCTTTCTTAAAGTATGGCACAGAGACACACACGAACGCTAATCAAGCCGCACTATCACCTGCTACAAACGTTATGCTGCATTTTAAGCGCGAAATATGAATTTTTGTATGAGAAACAGACAATGTGCCATCTCGGGCGGTGTGCCATCTCAGGCACAGAGTTGTATATAAGTAAATAGAGAGGCAGTACATACGACCTGCGCGTGGAAAAATAACTCCAACTACAGTGGCCGAATTTTAATGGC